CTCAACATCTTTTAAAGTTTATGCCAAAGAGCCCATCCTATTATGTTCCTTGTGTAACACATACATTAAAGAAATGAAAAAAAAAAAACAATCCCAGAATATCGTCTGAAGATGAAAAGGCATAAGCACTTGGAAATGTAGGAACAGCACCTTAATTTTTAAATCACAAAATGTTTGTTTTTTTAAAAGGCCAGCGAAGCATGGCTTTTTAATTATCCTATTCTTTCTAATTCTCTGTTTAACTGGGATATTCTATCAAGATTAACTAACTAATCCACTTCCACTGAAGTTGCATTTCTAAATTAACCAGCAGGGAAAGTGTTTGTAGAACTGGCACGTCTACTCAGTTTATAGGTTTATAGGAGTAACTGCTTATAGGTACAGAATATGTGTGTATGTTCACATTGGAAAGCAGATTATGGTCTTTACAGCTTCACAAACAACACAAATCACCCCCTCACACTGCTTCATTGGCCTCAATTAGCTGTGTTCCTGATATGAAACATGTGGACTCCTCAAAGCCTCATTTATGAGGTGGTTGTTTGTGTAGCTCATTAAAAAGTGAGTAAACCCACAGCGGAGCAGAGGGGAGCATCTGGATCAGCCTGACAACCGGCAGCAGGGATGTGAAGCTCTGGCCACTGTAGCTGATGAGAAATCATATTTCCTGGTTCTGCTCAGCACGCTAAAGCATCCTGCACAACATACAGCCAGTGCATCTACAATACTGCACTGTACTGTATTTTCTGATAACGGTGCGACTGAAATGCCACAAATTGAATAAATCCTTATTACACAGAAAAGGCATTTTTGAATTCAACCCCTGAGCTCTAAGTCATCACTGATGATGATGCCAACCCTGCACGGTCAGAGTTCACGGACACGTGAAAGAGCCAGGTTTGCCCTTCTTCAAATCCAGGTTGGGTTTAGTCTCCATGATGGCTTATACCTGCGAGAGTTAATACTGTCCACAGTTTTATATTTGTCGTTTTAAATGATCACAAACGTGATCAGAACCAAACAACAAAAGTTCTATGTTCGTGTAACGGCAAGTGTATGTGGCTTTTGTGAGTTTTTGAGACCTCTACATCATCACTGTGGTTTTTCCCATTGAAAAAGTGAAATGCATTGCAAATACATTTTAAGCAATACATCCAGACCCACTGATGGATCATTCTAACACTGCTGAGGGACAAATCAGAAAGAAAGAACAAAATCAGGGAGTAAGATCTCAGAGTTTGATTTATTCTGACGTTAACCCACATCTTAATACAATTTCTCATTACAGCCTGGATCCTATCACCACTCTGTCTCATCTCTACTGAGTGCTCTGCCACCTCTTATTGTGTCTCTCAGCGCCTCCTTTGTTGACACTCTGTGGCCCAGTCTGTCTCGTTTACCCCAACCGGCTCCGCAGGCCTCAGCTGTCGACCGTTAGTATTCCTGCTGCCAAGGCAGGGGACCACAGGGAGCCCTGGCGGCCACACAAAGTCTCTCTCACACAAAGTCTCTCTCACACACACACACACACACACACACACACACACACACACACACACACACACACACACACACTTAGACTTGAACAGCCTTCACCTTCCTCATCTGGCATCCCTCAGGCATCGGCTGATTCTGTGTTTTGTGCATGTTTGTTGATGAGCTCGAGCTGCAGCGACAGACTAATAGGCCAGGGATTTTCATTCTTGCTCATTTGGTATTTTGTCCATTATTTTCCCCTTCTCATTTCCTTCACAGTAATGTTTTAGCTCTAATACATGGGCTGAATTATTGATGAAGCTGCCACCCTCCCCCTCCCCCCATCTGTCTGGGCAGAGGGACAGAAGAAAGGGAGGGAGGAAGGGATGGATGAGTGGAGGAGACAAGGTTAGAAGGAGTTGGAGGATGGGTGGGTGGATGGGGGAAACTGGACCAGAGACTGATGGATGGATGGATGGATGGATGGATGGATGGATGGATGGATGGATGGATGGATGGTGTACAGAAGGACTGGACTGTCAATCTGTCTGCCCCCCAGGATGCCCAGCAGACCATGTAGGCAATGTTTACTGAACATGGATCCAAGCCATATGGTGCCACTTCAAGAACACACACAAATTGAGACACACACACACACACAC